TAATCTGGACGCTCGATTGGCAAGAGCCATTATTCGTCCTGTGAAGACTGGACTGGACTGTCCTGACTTTGAGTGCTTCGATTATATACGACTGATTATATGTGACCTTGATAATTGTGCCGCTTCGATGTGGATATGACATCCTCGTGATGGACGTTTTCTTCTTATTTATCACGACATTGTTCGCTTTATGCCCCTCAAATGCTGTTTCGGATGTCGATGAAGTGTGTGTTGCCGACCAAAAAAGATTTGAATCCATTATCAACTCAGGAAAAGCACTCGATGTGGTATGCTCACCAGTACATTAAATGATTGCAAGCAAATTAGTTTTATTTTATGAATGACACGAAAGAGACCATTCAACTCACATGGGCAGGTGAAAACAGTGGGGTAAACGAGATTTTACCTTGTGATTTTTATATCTAGGTTTTGATCCTTGTGACTATGACAGAGGGGGAAGCTGGACCCGGACTGACCTCAGACATATACCGCAGGTACTTTTAAGCAAAGCTGAAAATTCACTTCTAAGCGATAATAATGGAAAGTATTTTCAGAAGATTACTCAAGAATTAGGTGAAAATGTATATATACGACGGGAGAATGGCTTGCAACGGCATCAGAATCAGCGTGATTCTAAAGAGGTATTTATATGCAACACACTAAATTACTTTTGAACAATAGTTGTTTGTGATTTGCTATGATATAGAAAATAAACAGCACTCGGTTATTTTTGTCACACGGGATGGCGGGTTCACCTGGGATAAATCTAATGTGCCTTTTCTATTAAGCGGTCAGCTGCGGTTTTATCCGAGGCGGCGTCTTTCGCCTTGGATACTTACCTTGGAGGACAAAACCTCCGTAAGTATATACAAGTGTATATCTGAAATGTTTTGTAGAGTCTTTTCTTATCTCTGGACAATGGAAAAAGCTGGAAAAAGGTTCACGAAAATGTAGTAGACTTTTTCTGGTAAATCTGTTATTTATCTGTATATTTATTACAGGTCCATTTATGATTCGGATCCGGAAGAAACATTTTATGTTTTACACAAGTCCAGTCGAGCAGGGAGTGAGTTTTCTGTGAATAAATTTGCTTTTCATATGAACAAAATTTATGTCCTTTGGTTTGTGCGTGGTTTGAAGAATTTTCTGCATTAACAGGTATATTTAATCGCTATATTATCACATATTCCCAAGGTTTTAAATAATTTCTCGACACCAATTATTCACAGATATTTTGTAGCCATTACGGTGCGACTAATTTTGGAATCACATGATAATGAAAACAAACTGCGAATCGATGTTATTGATATGTTAATCAACTATAACTAATGCTTTCTTCACCATCGATTATCAAGTAGTTTTTGTCTCCAGTGCACTTTTTTTCTTCTATTTCAGTTATAATTTATTTATTTTGTTGATTAAAAGAACTGATCTTTCTTCAGCTATGTCTTCCGTGATTNGATCTTTCTTCAGCTATGTCTTCCGTGATTTTCTAAGCTATCAAAAGTAACGAAGTAAAATTACCCACAAATTCAGAAATATCAGTTTATCAAAATGCAACTATTATTCCAACAGGTTGTAAAGACTAATGTGAAAGTCAAAGTATTCATATAGGACTTTGCAGATGGAAATATTTTGAACATAAAAGGATTGCACGACTCAGTAAAATGAGTGGGAATACCATGGTTAAACATGAGCTAGTGGTGTGCACTGGGTAAAGGAAGGTATCTGTCAAGTTGGAAAAGATCTTAAGGCCGGTGTCGCTCAAAGTTTTGTAACTACAGCAAAATACGGGCTTTCAGAGGTCATATCAATGTGAGCAATTTGAATTCAGTTTTCNCAATCATAAATTTCCAGTTAGGCCTTCATGGAAGATTTCCATCAGGAAACCTACTTCATGAAATGGATAGGGTGTATGTGGAAAGTTTATTTTCTCTGGCATATATATATATATATATATATATGCACATTATGCTCGAAGCGTGAAGTGTATATATTGCAGCAATTTTATGAATCCTAGTTTAGAGTGTAATGAGAACCATTACATTGAAGGCAGAGCTAAGTTATCGGTTATATATAAGGCCATTCAGGCAGCGTTTCCTGAATTCTGATAACTAAATGTCGGAAACATTACGGGATTAAACGTGGAATACCGGTAATTATTCACCATTTGTTTGCTTCGTGCTTCCATTGGTTTGTAGTTCTATTACCTCCAGTTCCACAGAAGTTTTTTTCACTTCTGACTATGTGCTTTTTGTTACATTTGTAAATTAAGTCAATAGTGATTTAGTCAAACACTTTGAGTCCTTCAGCCTTCAGAATATCTGAAAATCATAACTTTTAACACAAAAATCGTACATTTGAGTTTCCAGTGGGATCACTGAAGAACCCTTCACGTAAATGTAAGATTGAATCATTTTACACATGGTAAAGAAGTAAATATCTCGATATATTCTAACCTTATCTCCCATAGGTTTATCGAGCCTAATAATCATCACTTTGAGGTGTGAGAAGCTTCCTGAAATATTATACCATAACCTTTTGTTTACAAAATTGTTTAAATGTTTCTGTCTACCAAAGATAATAATACAAAAAAGCGGAATATGTTTGTGTTTATTTTACATTCAGAGTGATATGCAAATACGTTTGACATAAAAGCTTTCGATCACCTCCTTAGTTGCCCATAAATTGACGGAATAAGAAAAAGTATTTTGGTGAACCAAATCTGCCCAACGCTTGTGTTATTATGGAGCTGTTTTGCTTCGTTTTAAAGTCATTTTGGTGTATGCCCACAGCAATGTTGTATTTATTTTTGGCAGGTAGATACAATGCCCCATTGCCAAACAGAAAGCGTTTGAGTTTCACAAATAAAAGTTTGTGAATTAATCTTATTTCTGTCAGCGGAAGTCATTGCAGCTCAGTGAAAATTTACTTGAATAGGAATTGTAATTTCTGTGTTCAACATTCACTCAAGCATTTCCATGCGTTTTGGAAGTAACAGGCAGACGTTTGAACGCTGTAAGCAATGAAATAATGTGCCACTAAAAAAAGGAATGCAAAAATACAGTTGATTTGATCCATTTGTTGATGCACAAATTGTACATGATTATATGACGATTGTGAAACTAATTTACCTGTTATATTCCTGGTGACAAAAGAAATTCATGCTAATAATACCATCAAAACTTAAATTTCAAGAAGGGTATCGTCATTTTAATCTCGTAGTTTAGCTCGGATGTTACCATTGAAATTTGTTCGGACCCATCGATAGTTTTGAGAAAAGCAATTTTTCGTATTTTCTTTCTCAAACGTGAATGAAATGCCTCTGGGCTAATTTTCTAAGTATGATCCAGGACAGTGATGATTTACTACTGCAAATCAAGTTGATTTCTTTTAAAACGTTCTGATTTGATGAGCTTAGACTTTCTCCCACAGTTTCTGTTTTTAAAACCAACAACCATGTACTTTTCTGCGTCGGTCTTGATTGCTGTCTTTTGGCATCTCATTTGGATAAAAAAGAAAAAGAGGGTTTTCTAAATGAGTACCTAAGACTTTGGGGCACAACATGCTTCCCGGTAGCCTACACCAACGAAGGGGTTTTTCCCATAGATGGCGTATGTTCACTTTAGTTCATTTTAATTTTATTTCGAGCACGGAAAGTTGACGGAAACTTTCCAGATGGTATTGTTTCTTACAACAGTAAGCTCCAAAGATCCTCCAGCGCTGCGACAATAGATATGAAGGTATTCACTTTCAATAGATTGCGTATTATGTGACTGCTAAAACGGTCCTCTTTGGCTACAGAGTACCACTTTGAGGAATTTGGGTAGGGTAAGCATTACTCACTGGCCACTTCCTTGGGGGAGTAACGCCGATTATTGATGCCCTTCAACACTGAAGTGTTATTCTAGAAGAAGCAAGTTTAGAACTGAGAATAGAAGTAAAGTGGAGGAGGGGACTAAAAGAGAGGCGGCCTTGGAGAAGGAGTAAACAAACAGGCTTCGGTAGGTTTGCATGTTAAATTTCTTCGATGAAAATCATCCAGTGAGTCGTCTCAAAGTATTAAAAATCAGTTATTAGCAGCATTGACTTCATTCAACAGTTTATTTTGGTCATTTACTATTCCCACTTGGCTGTATTTGCCGGCAGTTGGTATTTCATCATACTCTTAACGGATTTCAAGGCACACAGTCAGAGAGAAGTGGCCTCACTGAGCTTTAGTAGCGTCTGACTATCTCTTCATATATCTGTAATCAAATAGAGGATTTTAAAGGCCTCCATGTTACGTCGCCGTCTACATCTCTGATCTCCTAAAGCCCCTTTGTAAACCCCCCTTCTAGCACCTCTAACGCTTTGGCATCTTCAACTTAGGAAAGACCTCCACGCTTCACCTAAATATCAAAGATGTGGATAAATAAATGCTTTGTATAGTGATAGAAGAGTCTCCTGTCTCCTCGATTCCATTGCTCGTTTCAGTTGGTAAAATTTTCGAGATGTTTTTTACAGCATCCTGACACTGCTGGTTAGGAAGGAAATCCGCTGTCATATATTCCCTAATTCTTGTGCTGAAGACACCGAGGCAATCTAGACCTATTAGTCAAAAGGTTTAACGAATCGCCTTCCCAGATGGCAATCGTTGCCAGAGAGGTGCTGACCTTTCTTATCATTCAACGGCAAACTCCACACAACAGAACGTTAATGGATCTTGTTTAAACCCTTCTAAACGGATTAATTGGGATATCTCCTGCGCTTAGATCAGTTAACATCATGAGCAGATCGAACTTTTGGAAGACGATGATGGCGCAGTTAAGTTTACCAGCCCACGGATACAGTTATTGTGAGTTAAAACTCCACCACAGGCTCCAGACCCTCTTTCTGGAATTTCCCCTAATCAACGCCTGAACGGCTCTAGACCATCTCTTTCTTTAAAGTATACTGCGTACTCATATAGAGGAAAGTCTGAAGACTAGTTAATAATCATTACTTTTCAGATACAGTGATCTAAAACATATTTCATTAACTCTTCATAGTACACGGTTCTTGATATTGATCACGAGAGTTCTTTACTAGAATTTTAACTTTGCTCTTCTGTGGCATCTATAGGTGGTATTTAAAGCCAGCTTAGTCAGTATGACATATTTTTGGTATATTACTTAACCAGAAAATGGGATTATCAAAAGATTACTGAGATGCAGTTGTGTTGTGACCTAGTTGTGAGTAGTTTTTCAGGTTAGAAATAAATGACTCATAAATTACACACCAGACTATGCGAACTTAGTGAGTCAAGAGAACCACTGTTCAGTTATGATCTTCGGTAAACTAAGCGATGAGGCTTGATGAGGAGGATAGTATAATAGCTCGATGATGCGGCACCACACTAGACCTTTGCGGAACCATCAACAAGCAAAGTGCCCAGGGATGGATCAGATTTGACCCGATCTCCCGCGGATGCAAGAGTTAAAACAAATCTGTTTACCTGCTTAGCGATATTACAACAAGGAAAGCTTTCATCTGCATGGGATGCATTTTTGAAGTATACCTTCCTCTTCCTTTACTTTATTCCTAAAACTAATTCAGTTTGACTGGCGGAATAGCACTTTTTCTCCTTCTCTTGTACACTAATTACAATGAAGTTATTTATTTGTTTATCGCCCCTTATTATTATACCGTAATATCAAACTTCAGAGCAAAGAACTTGCTCTATTTAGGGTGGGTGTAAAATACAACTTAGAGAAATACACACACACCAGAGCATAACATACAACCACTTTCCTTGTAAATCAGTTTGATAGTGATTGTTATTTTGATAATATCCCTTTCACACTACACACTGTCACCGGACAAAACAGTCACTACTAACTATTGATCAACGCCCAGAACAAAAACGAGATATTCTTACGTCGCTGCGTTTATTCAAATCAGGTATAACATCGGCAAAAAGGTGGAGTAGATGAAGCTCTATCGCACTATTAACATAAGAACTTTGATAAAAGACACTGAATTTCATTACACGTATTATGATATGACATCCGAAAACAGCACTCACTCATTTTCTGGTTTTTGGGGTAATAAATCAATTATTCTTCAGTCAATGTTCCAGAATTACATTCTTTGATCACAAAATCGATTTGCAAATCGAAATTAAAGGATTTAAATTTTCCTTGATTACTTTATCAATACACTAGATAAATGATAGAGTTTATAAGGGTTTGTTTCAGCTCATCCAACACTAATTATTTTAAGAAATCTACTTGAAGGGTAATCACTCGATAGTTGTCTTGTAAATGATGAAATTTCGTACTCTGTTTAAATAACCAAAATAAACTTACAGTTTTGATTTTGTTCACGTGTGTTCAAATAATGATCACGGCTGTGTTTCAGCAAATTATGCCAAAATAAGTTTTAGCTGCATGCCATGATGTGCTACACAATAAGGGAAATAAAACATCCATTCAAAGAAAGAAACATGTGACCTGTGAGAATCGGCACTTCAGCCTTCAGTAATAAACCTAGCTTACCATTCATATTCGCATCGCAGGGAGGTTTGCATTGAGTCTGATGATTATAATACTGCCCTTTGAAACTGATGTTAACTAAACTGGTACCTGATTCGCAGAATCTTTGTAAAGTGCACCAACTTCTGGTCAAATGGTACAGAGAATTGAGCACTTCTTAAATGTGCAAACCAGAACCTTTTTCGTTCTTGATCACATTTCATTTATTAGATAACATGTAGTGATACGTGATCACTTCACACAATTTGATCACGTTGATCTAACTTACCACACCTGGATGTTTTGACTATGGTGATTTAGAGTTAGAGGATTTTTTATCCCACTTTCTTGCAAATCCCGTTTCAGAGCTCTGTAGCGGTTGTTTGATCAGCCGGATACTGTCCAAGCAATTTCGGACAGTTGGTACTTTGAGCGTATTCCGTGGATACATTTTTGGCTAAGTCTTATTTTTGAGGCAGGTCATATTTTAGGAGGAACACTGAAAAAGATATTTTTTGCTATATTTTGGTAGGCCTCAGTAATAATCATCCATGTTTCCTAGGCAGTGGTCCATTGAAATAAACCCACAGTCTGTTACCGTATTTCTTCTTTACAAAAATGGCCGAAATACAAATTAGGAATCTTCCATCAATAATTACTTTAAACTTCAAGAAACTCACAGCTGTTTGATATGTAGCATTATCATATTCGTAAGTCTCCTCCCGATTAATTTGGGTCTGATGAACCGGGGGGCAGGTATTTCTTATACTTTCAATGCATATTTAAATAAATTCAACGTCCTACTGCGAGAATGTCGTATATCATCCATCATATTTTGCTATAATTGGCGTATGCAAGGACAAAAGCCTAACCTCGCGTGTACAACTAACCAATATGCATCTCAATTAATGTGATGTGACACAAGGATATAATTTTCCGGTCGAGTGCGATGTTTTTACATTCAGCGAATGGTTCACCTTACCCCCTAAGCATTGTTTCTATCTGTTTCCTTCATTGTCTTTTTACTCTAATCCAAGAACTGAGTTAAAAACAAATATCTACGGCTTGGTAGAAGTGTTTTCAAACTGCGGAATTTTAATCGGTGTCGTGTGCACGTTTTGGGATAAGTCGGTCTGTCATTGAGTTCAACCGTTACGCTGAACGGTCGGTGTAAACGTCAGAGGTCCGGCTTTGAATGTGAACGTCATTGGTGTTCATGACAGAGGGGAGGGAGCTCGCGGTGGAAGATAAAAACCAGCATGTAATCAGTCATTCCTCACACGTTCTCTCGGCACGATTGGAGAGATAGAAAGAGAAAGAGAGCATGATAGTTCAGCTACGTGATGACAGCTTGGTTACCAGACAAGTTTGAGTTTTATTTTACACTGTAGGTGCACATGTACTTACACTCTAAGGTTGACCCACACTTCCTGCGGCTAGAACAGGTATCTAAGATAACCCTTTTACAAACAACTTCATGTTGTGTACATCTACGCAGGCCTGAAGAATATAAAACGATAGCTCATTCAAAACATTGTACAGGTTTTTTCCTAAATCTTTTCAGACGATTGCTAAGTATGCGCAATAAAATACCTAACCAAGAAAATGTATGCTGGTTAATTGATAACAAAGTGTTCTGCTAAAATTCCTCGGAAAAAATAGTATTAGACCTAGTTATTGTTAGCTTCGTTCCGACTCACATGTGTCTGGAAGATGGTGATAAAACGTTCAGGTACAACAGATTCAATATTTCACAGCTGTTACGCAGAACGAACTGCAACAGAGCTCACTAAATTGGGTGCTTCATCTTTAATGTTGCAGCATCACATCGGCTCCATTATTGCTTTAATCCAGTGTACTTTGCTCAAGCTTTTGATTTCCAGGCTCCTCTCAACTCATGCGGTACACTTAACAAGACTAGGAAGAACGGCGAAATTGTCTGAGACTGGTAGTGTCTTGCTTATCAAATCATCTGCCTCAAATTATAAGTCACATATATCCATAGAAAGTATCGCGGCATGCGAAAGTCCCTCCCATATCCAAACAAAACCATTGCGATTGCCGTTTTGTCTTAAAGGTACCTCTTTCTTCTGAAAGAAGTAGAGATGCATTTCCGAACAAAGATCCATCATCGAGGGCTATGTCATTTTTGTCTTGAGCCAATTTATTGAATGCATTCACAAGATCGACTTATTCTCACTTTGGAGCAATTTACTTAAAGATGAAACGGTCAGATGCCGTCAATTAGTCACCACCATCAGGGAACTACAATTTTATTTCCTCCTGGTAAAAGTATGATAGAGCAATCTAAAAAGAATAACTGCTGTTAGACAGAAATTTGATATTTTGATATATTTTATAGTTTTTCCCCATCAAACAGATTACCTTATTAACTCAGTCTTTTGACCTAGTTATTTTAGAAACATCTCCATCAGTTTGTACAATTGGATCAATCACGATTGATTTTACTAGCCCCAATGTACTCGGAGTGAATAATCGACGAAACAAAAGGAGTGAAGTTGCAATCATGATGTAACAGTTAGCTTACAAAAGGAAGTGTGTGATATTATCCTGTCTCAACAATACACATTGGTTAGCTGCATTTTAGGAAAACCTTTTTTTTCCACACTTCGTGCCACGTGATGACTGTTGAGTCGTTGTGAATCTAAACGTAAAACTTGTTCGGTCGACAATACCCAGGGCTTAAAAATCAGAAGCTTCTCACTTTTGTGGTCGATTAATTTTCACTCAAAATGTGGAACAACAGCATATCAATTTATGCTGAACTGCAATGTTGGATAAACTGAGATCCAGAATATCTAAATCAGTCAGCATGTATAACTTTCGTGATATCAGAGTACGTCTACTTGAGGACTCCTCCGGTCACCTAGGTGATAATTCAGAACTGCATCATTCAATTTCACCCTCTCCCTCTAAGATGCGACGGTCAATCGGCTGATCAAGACGGTAGATTTCGGGAAGTCATGGATTCCCGTCATTGACAATGTGGTTCGAGTCTGGGCTCCACGTGGAATTCAGTCCAAGCCAATGGGCGGTCCGGGTTTAAGTCAGGGAGCTGAATTGCCAGCTGCAACCGATGTAGAACAGACCAAACGCGGTCGCTTTCTATATGTGGCGCATAACACGAATGCGGATAATCAAACAATGCATCTCAGCATCTCCACAGATGGAGGCAAAACATTTAAACCGGTTTACTTGCCCACAATTATACCCGAGCGAGTGAGTTATTTTTGTTACAGTTTTCGTTTAGACTATGTCTGATGTGTTTTTTCGCTGCCAATTTGTCTGTGTATCTGTCTATCTGTCTCTTGACTTGTATCATTAGTTTCCATCACTTTTTATTGGTTAAACACCGAAAGACCTCATTGGTGTAACTTTCCTATCAAATAGAAACTATTCTTTTACACAAATAGGACGCAGCAGTACCTGCAGTTGAATTGCTCGTTAATGACTCATTAACCTTATGCAGACTGCCGATTAGCCCAATAACCGTACATATTATCGATTTCGGCGTATGATCAACCGCGGTGGACTTTAATTCATCTTTAAGACATATTTGTGATACAGGCAATGTGTAATTTGATGCATCCATTCAGATGATTTCTGATAAACTTCATTTCCGATGTCATTGCTAGCATGAAGTGAAATTTAGTAAAGGGAATTTCACTGATCACTGTCAAGCTAACAACGTTTCTGAATGAGGTGCTAACGTGTAAGGTAAATAGGGAGTTTATACCCCGGCTGGGAATATTTTCGTCATTGGCTATTCATTGAACTGAAACCGGATACGGTGTAAATATTCTATATTGACATAATCATGTTTAGCGTATCGTCAATCAAGAAACAATAACCATAGAGTTTTGATCTTGCGATTTTAAATCATAATGCTTTGATGGCTATTTAAAAGTCGATCGATTCGTATACTCCAAACATATTTGATTCGTAGAACTCGCTATCTAAATAATTAGGCACCTGCAGCAAATATCGAAGATAAAATGGTGGGATTGAATCTCCCATTTGGGATCCTGCCATTCTTAAACTATTGCAAGGTGGCGTTCTTTTCTGATAAATCACCAACAACCTTCAATTGATTGTAAATGTTCTTAACAACCTGCGCCAACAAGATAAAGTAAAATTCCCCTACCAACATTACAGTAGCTTTAGCTTGGTTGTCTTATCGATCGGTTGAGTTCTTTAAACAGCCTGGTTTAGGAGCTAACAGAGCTCTCAAATTGAAGATGGAACCGGCATATTATTCCAGCCTTCACCAAGCTTTTTTAACCGCCAAGGGGTTAAAACGGTTACCAGAAATATTTGAGCACCTGGCCTATTTTATGTACAAGTTGATCAAAGAAACATGCAACTAGCTTACGTCCCAGCTTGTCCCTTTGATAAGCGATTTACCCACAGAAAGGCGATGGGAAGAAATAACTTTTCTGAGAATCACGATGACTGAATGCAAATATTTCATACAGGAACTGTGTTGCTTTGGTGGTAATTTTAGTCAAAAATCTGAACTGCAAGGTGTGGAGTGATAATTTTTAATCATTTTACTTTGCTATATCAGACTCTTTTGCTGTGTCCGAACTCTTCGGTTACTAATCCCAATTGGTGATAGACAACTCCGCGAAAATAGGAAATTACTTGATTTACTGCGCTAGACTGCTGGTTCCCCTATTCAGACCGTAGAGACCTACAACAAATGGATCTTCCTGTTGTACTACTGACCATAATCGTCTATGGGAAAAATTCAAGATGAGTTACCTAATTATTGTGTATCCGAATTAGGAGGGTGTAAAATAAGTTGTTGAAGCCAAAACGAGGTAATTGTTTGAAGGCTGACAAAACATACTCGACAATAGTTGCTTCCATGATCGAACTCATCAATAGTGCGTGGTATTTTTGTGCCACTCGTTAGATCGAATCGAAACCTTCGAGTTAAGGGCCGAAGCCTCCCCCCTCCTCACTGGAGCTACACAACCGATAGCAGAAACTGGCTCTTGTAATGATACGGGTTGAACGTTTTCTTGCAAATTTACGAAGATACACGATNTGGACCCTCTGTCTTGGAGTTCGCCTAAAATGAAACAAGAGCATGGTCAAAGTGAGCCTATAGTCTTGGAAAGTTGGTGGTGCTTCGCAAGGCATTGTATCCTCTTGAGCCCTTCCGTGATAGTCTTGTTCAGTGATTTAGTGCACTTGGAACGCATATTATTGCCAGTAGTGATACGTCGTTTTAAACCGATTTTTTTAAAGAGCAACTCACAAATCCTTGATGACCACTGTAAATTACCAGGAAAAATACTTAAACCACCAATCTACAAAAATGGTTATTGCTTCACAGCTAAGGATTGCTAGTCAGGATCCACTTCAAAGTTACACCCTCAAGCGCAGTTATTTCACCAGTCTTCACGAGAACCTTTTAAGTCCCTTCGGTGACTGAAACTGTTTATGGGTAACAGAAGACTGGGGGGAATAACTCAAGGTTAACCAGTTTATACCTGAGATATAAAGATAAACTGTTGCACTTTAAATCATCTTTGGTGTAATGTGTATCTAGAAGTTCACTTGGGAATATAGAAGACAATGTTTTTGTCCGAGAAAAGCCATGATTGAATTTTGCGGTCATGGATGCATAAACAGGTTATCAATAAACTGTGTAGTATCGTGAATCAAAATAGATCACTACGTTACCAATCAATGACGCAGTTTATTCTATTGGCACACTGAGAAGTTCTATTGGTTGTATCCTAAACCACATATTTTCGTCATTATCTACTCCCATAATTTGATCTGAATGATTCGAAGTGTTGTTTCTTTCAAAGTAATAATCTCCGACGACAGTCGTAGTTTTTGTTCGATTCAAGTCCCTTTGTACAAACGGTATTCTGAGCACGCTACCACAAACGTTTTGCCTTTCATATGCATGCGTGCGTTGGTTTTATTTTTAGTCTACTCGAACTTTCCTTATGTCAGTTCCTTGCTTGGTATCACGAATGTCTAATTACAAACCTGTTTTTTTGTTCTCTCATCTATGTGCTCAGTTCTATTCGGTTCTCGAGGTGGAAGACGATTTGGCATTCGTCCATGTGGATGCACCGAATGGTACGTTAGTCAGTGCCAACTGATCTGATTAGTATGCTGTTTGCGTCTGAATGGTCAGTAAGTGATAAACGTCACGAGCCCAGTTGTTGTTGTTGCTTCCAGTGCACATTCTAACCGTATCTCGGTTTTATCGGCTTTATCTGGTTCTATCTTGTTTCGATCGTTCTAGAATAGGCCACCACCACCACCATGGTTACTCGCTCTTCGCCTCTACGACGGAAATTGACCTTCCGAGTGGTATTTTTTGTTTGCTGTCGTGCTCTAGTTGGAGAACATATTGATGTCCTTTATCGTTTTTTTCAGCCCGCTGTCCTTCATTCGTAATATTCTCATGTCTGATACTTGTTCCAATCTCCTATTCAAGTATGTAATACTCATACAGAGATCATGTGATCATTGCTTTCTATCTCTCGGCAGAAGAACAACTAATCTGCCCCAAATCTGGCAACAGCACGTTCGAAATTCATTCTTCTATTTACTCATATAGTCTGCATNTGTGAAGCAGAAACTACAAAATTGGGTTGTCGTGTCAATGAGTAATAAAATTTGTCAGAATGAAATATTCACCAAAAGAACGCAAAAACGAAAAAGACCCGAATTGGCAGACTTCAAACGTACCGCCGCTTTGAAGTTGACCGGACAGTATCGAACCGTGTTTCACATTTTATTTTGTCAGACAATCACTGTGATTCGTAACATACATCCGGCCAGAATGGTGCTGCATTGATAAGGTAGTTTAGGGTTTATCACATGACATAAATCAGTATTGACGCGCCAAATTAACTTTTCTGGTCTACCTGTTGATCGGTCTATATGCTGTTTCCGAATGAATATTGTACGTAACNACGTAACACGTTTGTTAGTGATTTTGCAGCTGATTTCCCAAAGTAGTTGATTGTAATGCATTGAAAATTGAAATGCCTATTTTAGACCAATTTTTGTTGGATAAATAATTAATCTTTATAACGAACAGTACATTGTAAATAAATTTAACGTGCACTAGCTAAATATCTGCGATGCAACTGTTTTTACTTCATTTCTTTCGGACAATGAAGTTTCATTCAATATGATGCATACGAGATTGACGATTTTGGTTTCATCTCCAGAAATACGAACATTTTGAGTTCAGAAGGATACTAGATTGTTTTCTCGCATGATTTATATTTGTCACTGTCGGCGGAAAATGACTAATCAGCATCAAGTTTCCATTCAAATCTGGTCCACGTTGTTCTTCACTTATCACATCCGTGTACATGATATATAGACCTTTAAGGAACATTACACTGCTAGTTTGGTGGTTTACAGCTCCCGAACCGATCCTACCTTCGATCTTCCTTCTGAATAAATGCATGGAATTATTTAGAGGATATTTCGAAAAAGAGTTAGACGCGATAATCAGAGGGAGAAAGAGTGGAAATACATACATATCGATGCATATACTGGATTGGTAAAAATAAAGTGATCAGGCGTTCGTCCCTCATTTTCTCGCCAGTCATTTATCTTAGTTGGGCAAAGTTGCCCTAACGTGGGTATTTCCTTAAGTCACTATGAAAACCAAAAATCCAACAGCGCAATGGCAAGCGGTTTCCCTATCTCAATTGCTAGTTGCTTCGCATACCCGCAAATCTATCGTCCGTGAGTGCGCACCGGTCGCTTGCGTTAGTTTTTACATGGTCTCGAAGAAACTGTGACCCTTGTGTTTCTTCTCACAACCTGAAACTGCATGTTTATATCAGATTATCGCATGAATAAAAGTAAACGGTTAGAATAAATAAACTGTAGGTGCTAAAGTTTGACCTATTGCTGTATTATTTTTCTTCTGTTCTCCAAGGCCATTTCATAACCACTGGATTAACAAATGCCACACGGACGCACATATTGTGAATTAACCGTGGTCCTTTTCGATTCAGATTGGACAGCTGAATGGTGCACGTATATGTGCTTTCAACGACTGTATCCCCCATTTAACCGATTATCATGATCCGGTTCAAACTAGCTGCTTTTCTCCCGCCAATCACCGATTGATACCGGTGAACGTTCCTCTTCCGAGAGAGATAGGATGACTCAGCACTGTACTCCATGATATTATAACCCATACATTTTTCTACATGGCACGAAACAATCAGTTACACCTCAACATTACTTACATTTCAGGTGGTCCTTCGTAGTATTTTCCAATGTACTGATTGACATGTGATATCAAGTCTAATCGGTTCCGTGTGTGGTCAAAAAGGGAGGAACTTTATGATCTGAAGAACAGGAACAGAGACCATATTTCCACTGCGAACATGTCGCAAACAATAAGGCAATTCATCTCTGGTCTAGTTGCTGGTTTTTTTCTGTCCAGACTCATGCACAACGAAATTCACTATATGAACAAACGAAATCCTCCGTTTCTCTCTTGTAACTCATACATTTGCCAACAAAATATGACCGAGCGACGTAGAACCATGTCCGAAAACGAGTTGCTTGTTTGATTTGCTCATCAATTTATTTAAAATCATCCATTGTATACGGTCGTTATTGTTACAACCACCACTGTTAAACAGAATCCTAATAGATGATTTGTTCGCCCACGTAAACAGGAGCGATCAGTACTCCAATCGAATGTGCTTGCCGAAAATTTCAATCTCTATGAAAATTGGTCTGATAAAATTATGTTCACAGTCGAAGCAAGGAATGAGTATGTCTGTTTTTGCGTTGTTCGAACCGATGACCTGCTATCACCTTCTTGGTTTTTCCAAATGAACTGGACGAGGGAGGGTTCACCCTTATTCATTATCGTCATCATCATCATCATCATCGTTGTCGTCTTTATAACAATCCCCATGCGCATAAATATCATAAAGCAAAATACATCGATCACTGCCAAATTCGCGATATGAACTGAGTAAGAGTATCATGTTTGGATTAGTGCATTCGACTGTTCCCAAACACCAGGTACTGTTTATGGTCTTGGGTGTGTGTTTCACTTTTTGGGAGATTGGTGATTCCTTGCCAGTTAAATATGTGACGGAAATACTTACGATGATCGAAAAAGAGCACTGGTCTATTGTTTTATCCTGTCTGGGACTTGTCGAAAGTGCTTAGTTTTTGTGTCCTTGCTTTGACTCCAGCTGCGAACCTATGGGTTGAGGCAGAAACCCTTATCCTTACTCCCTATCCGGTGGTTCGCGGATCGAGTCCCGATAGGGACTCAACAAGCACACCGTGCTGACGAGTCCCAAACAAGATGAAACAGGTGCTCAGTGCTCCTTATTGGTCATTACAGATGTTTCTATCGCATACAAACGTCCAAATTAGGTTAGAATCCGGAAGATGGATGGAGAGTGAGACCGTTTTCAGGGACGGAGGATGAAAGTTAGGCTTTATATTGAACACCTAGTGTACTCAGATTGACTATATATATATCTGAAGGAAAATAAGCGTCCACCAGCATTGCGCCAATCAAGGTATAACCACAGGCCATCTTATACAGCAGGCAAGGATAGTACCCACATAATTGCCGAGCAGTTGATCAGATAGTCTTTCGTTTTGTCTATAAACGATATTGCACAGCATATTTTCACTGGCTCCTTGCTGACTTCTTACTTCGCGCATTTCACCACTAGCCCCCATGATGATTATGAATCGGCTGGAAACATTCCGAGACGGACTTATTCTTACATGAGAGCCATGAAGAATTTGATCGAAAGGATTTGGACTGCTGATGAGGCCCAAACAGGTCCAAACATTGGCACAATGCTCCTTAGTCTTTTGTTTCACACCGAGTTTGTTATTTACTCGATGAAGCTCACTATATAATCGAATTATATCCTCCACTACTTCCATGTGCTAACCAATGGCGTTTGTATTGAATGTGGTTTGACTCGCTGCCATGGGTTTCTCAACGTGAACTATAATATATATATATATATATATGTACATCAAAGTTCAAGTTTTTTATGGCGTTTACTGACAAGCTCATGATTCTCTTGTTCTCATATGATATTTACTAAGTTGAATCGCTTCCCATCAAAAAATGATTAAATGTCACACGAAGTTCCAGAAAAGAGCTAACAGATAATGTAGTCTTCAATTAATCAACGGTTTTCAGTTATTTAAGAATGTAAGATGTGCTGGGGTTTCATCAAGTTTCCGCTAGAAATATTCAACAGTTGGTGCACAAACTTCGTGAGACGGAAGGGTATTCCAAGTAGTGCATAATCTGGTTGCAAAAGATCGACACTGGCATTCCAGTACTTCGGAATCGGTAACTTGAAACGATGTTCCCTAAGGTGTATGTTGAACCAAAACCTGAGCAGCGGCAATATGGATCGTTCGGGTTCTGCAGTATTTGATACGCCACAATCAAGTCTCCCAGAATTCGGCGTTAATGAGCCTCATTGATCGTAATCTGTCCTCATAAGCGAAGTCAAAGTCAAAGTTTTATTATGGGCCTTTT